AATATAGCAATAGCACTTAGACTTATATAGAGCTTCACAGTGCTTTACAGCCCTCTCTTTAGGCAGTTGACAGAGTCAGCATATTGCCCTCAACAATCTGGGTCCTCAATATCACACATTATTTCCTTTATTCTTATATGACTTGAAGTACAGAGTTTGCAATCCTGCTCAGATCTAAATGTGTTCCCAGGTCCACAATTACATAAAGAGGTTGTTTTCAGAAGGGTAAAAGACACAGTGATTATTTTCTTTATTTTGTATATTTGTCTTGGTTATTGACAGTAACCTGGAAGGTTGGGTGGGGGGGAATAAATATTTGCACTAACTTTTTTGCATTTTGTAAAGGAACAGAGTAATATGTATATTAGAAATATAATAAAATCAGTACACAAGTCAAGGACTACCTATAATACATTTCCATCACACATAAATGCCACCCTCTCCTTACTGATAAGAAATCTAGCTGTTATTTGTCAGTGGTATAAGCCACGCCTTCAGATTTCAGTTTGTAACAGTGATAAATTATTTGTACCTCACGTAAAGTGGTGACCATGACCTAGCATGAGATGCGTGAGTGAATCAACTGCAGACACGAATCACACTGCTTTAAAATCTAATTTGTATATAAATGGAAAACTGTCAAGGAAGGGTGGCACAAACACATTAGAAAACTTGTTAAAATATGGAAAGTGATAAAAAGGAAACTCAAGAGGGTTAAATCTCTGTAGAATGATTGGGAGTTAATCAACCCATAATAATAGAAAGTACCAAATTCAAAAGTCACCTCCATGATTAAGAAGCAAGGTCAAGCAAGTGAAAAAAGGGATGTAATAAATAGAAGTCCTGCTCAAACAAGGAATATGAAAAGGAACACAAACTTACCTGAATGAAATCCAAGCACAAATGCACAATGATGATAAGATGGAGAGAGGGGGGAGGAGAATTAGGTAGGAAGGCAGGTAGCTGGGCCTTTGTAAGACAAAGGAATTAAAAGAGTACTAAAGGAGAATGTGGAGATTGTAAAATTATCTCCATTCCCACCCAACTCCTAGGGGAAGGTTACTGCAAAATCCCATTCCCTCCCCACCCCACTAACCTGCGTTCCAGCTCCGTTCTCCTGTGCAAGGCAACAAAAGAAGACCCAGATGATCAGCCGAGACTCGGGAGGCAGAGAATAGATGGGGGCAGGGCCAGTCAGAGGTGGTATTTGCTGGTTCTCTGAACTACTCAAAATTTCCACTACCGGTTTCTCCAGAACTGGTCAGAACCTGCTGAATATCACCTCTGGAGCAAATCTTCATTGCAGCATATGCAAGACCACTGAGTTAACATCATCAGGAAATCACAGGATATGAGACAAAACAGTAGTATCAAGAGAAGTTCTAAATCTAATTGACAAACTGAAAACTAATAAATTGCTCAGTCCAGATGGTATCTTCCCAACAGTTCTTAAAATAACTCAAGGGTGAAATTTCTGATTTAATAGAGGAATATGCAACATGTCCTAAGGTCAGCCTCTAAAGCTGATCAAGTTCTAAAAAGAAATTCAGAGGAGATCCAATAATGTATAACTAATTAGCTTAACATCCTTTCTCAATAAAAAAATAACTTAATATGAAACACTACATACCAAGCATTAAAAAGGTAACTTTTGACTGCTACTGAAATAACTTGTTCTTTGAGAATATTAGGGAGCAGATAGGCAAAATTGATCCAAGGTACAAATGAATGTTCTACTCAAAGAGAAAAAAAAAACCTGAAGGAAAATTTGCACCAATGTTGTGCACCAATCTGATCACTCTCGTTCGAAAAACAATATTGAAAATCAGAAAAGGAATCATGAGAATCAGCAAGTTATAATAATCTCTTTAGGGGAATCCCTGTAAGCTAACTATCTTAGTTTTTAAAAAGGCATGTAAGAAAGCATATTATAAGGATTTATAAAACTATACCCAGATAAAGAAAGGGGATAGGTTCTTTTCTTTTTCTCATAATATTAGAAGAAGTAATTCAAGGAAGCTGAATAATAACAGAAGCAAAATGGACAAAAAGTGCTTCTTCACAAGGTGACAATCAAATCACAGAACTTACAACTCCTGTCACAAACTTGTACAGTGTAAGATGAAATAGGTTCATGGGAAATAAGTAGTCATGATGCCAGTGCAGCATTTTCAATATCAAAGAGTGGAAGACAGTAAATTTAAATGTCTAGTAAAATGTTGTCAGAATTAGACTGTGAATATATTCTTACATTGAAATGGGACAGCAGAGCAAATTCTGAAACCAAGCAAATTCTGAGACCTTGGTTCACTTGAAACAAAAAGAATCAATGCAAGTACAAGAATGAGAAGAATATAAAAAAGCATGTAAGAATAAAATCCAAAAGAAAAAAAAAGTGAAGTCCAAGTATATATGATTCATAAGAGAAAAAAGACTAATGGCAAGCACTTACGAAAGAAAAAGCAGCACAGAAACAGAAACGGCCAAATGAAATGATCAATGAATCATGCCCTTACAATCCTTAGGGAAAGTAGGATGTCAAAAAGGTATTCCAAAAGAATAAAGTAGCTTCTTTCTTTTAAGAAAACATTTTGAAATGAAAAAAGAGAGAGCATAGATTTAATGCATAGGAAATTACTCTGGGGAAAAAAAACCCACCTAAAAGCAAAATGTGAAAAACTGACATGAAATTAAAATGAGACAGGAATAATGGGAACAAAAATTAAGCAGGAAGAAATTGTGACAACATGTTTTTAAAATAATAAGCCAACAAACAAATGCAAAACACACTAGTGAAACAAAGCTTAAAAAAAAGTAAGCCTCCAAACAAGTAAATCAATCCTCAATCCTCTGGCTTTGCTTCTATGAGCTTGCAATTTGAGAGACCTATTGAGAGTAGTATTGAATAGATGTGTGAGTACATATATGTGTGGACACATAAACACACACAGACACAGATACTGCTCAATTCCTCAATGATATGTTTGAAATCTGAAAATAGCTTAGCCTTAACCATGAGTATCCCAATGTTTACAAAAAAGAAGAAAGACTAAAATAGTGCCGTTTGACATATGGTTTGGGGATGAAGATATGAAAGATAGTAGTGATCACATTTACACTATTATCTTACTCTCATTCTAAAGTCAAATGCCTAAATGTTTACAAGAAGCCGGATAAAATATTAGAGACACAGATTTCACATTCTGCGTACAAAATGGAAATTTAGAAAACCATTTTGTTAATGGAGAATTTTGTAAGCTTGCACTCTCTTCTTGCTATGACTTCCAAATCTACAAAATGGCCAACTTTCAGCCAAGGTTTAGAGTCAACTTCTAGCAAAAAAGAGAGAAAAAGTTCTCCTCTCAATTACTGAGGCTATTTTAGTCACATGACCAAATGGTATTATAATGATGAATAAAAAAGCAGAAAGGAAGTGCTGAGAACTGATTATCAGGAAATTAGAAGTAGGTATGCATAATATTGGGAGAAGCTCACTTACTTCAAAAGTAAGCTAAGAAGAAGTACATGTTTACACCTAAGCAAAACAGTGACTATAATTTCCGCTAGGGCTGGAATAGGTGTTATTCATTCTTCCTACGCATACTAATGCCTCATTCCCTTCTGAGATATCAAAGTGAAGTAACAGCTCAACCACAGCACTTTTTTTTATTCAAACAGAAAAATGCAAAATATATGTTAATATGATAAAAACAAAGCCTCTCAGATACTGTTTCATTAGTCATTATTTTCACTGTCATTTGCAGAAGAAAAGAATACCAAAACAAAGAATGTGTTAGTGTAAAATCTGTTGTTTCAAAAGAACAAATGGAGCATTAATTTATACATGCTGGTATATTTGTCAACAAAAACAAAAGTAGATAAACACATCCACTACAGAAACAAAAGCCATCTTGAGTAATTAAGCACTTTACTTTTTTTTCAATAAAATGTAGTTCTAAAAGAAGACAAACCAGTGTCAGATTCATTCAGATTTATAAAGAAAGCATCTGAAATATGCTTTTATTGCAGCACTTTTAAATAAGGCATGTCAAATTGCAAATATATGTAACAGGTGAAATTCATCTGAAATGCTTATGTTAATCACCACAGAAAGCATGAATACACTGTTAGCTTAGGATAAACTTATAATTACATATATGACTTGAGGTTAGCTTATGTAATTATATGTGCTCAAATAGGCTTTCAGTTTAAATTGTGAACAAAACAATCTCTTTGGTATGTTCTTGTATTTATTTTAAAATGTTCTTCTTATAAAAAAGAACAATGCATAGTCTATTTTTTTCAGGCACAAGCATCTATGTTTAAAATTTCCAAAAGGACTTTCCTTTCCTGGATAGCCTCATCCAGTTTCTCTAAAAAACAAAGATGGGTTTTATCTTAGTATATTTAACCATCTCTGCCATGTCATTTCCCTGACATTAACCCAAATGCACCTATAACCGCTTGGAAATACTGATAGCTTTCAGGAGTAAAGAACCAAAACATAAGTTATATTAGAATATTTTTTTCATTTAGAAATCATTTTCTTCATATACGAATCATCAATATGCCATGTCTAACTTCCTGATTTATAGAACTATTGTGCATATTATCTTACCCAATTTCCCCAGGAAAATGACTAATTGCAATCCCTAATGTCAAAAGGTAGACAAAATATTTTGGGAACCGTAATGAGAATCTATATGGACAGCATTAGACTACAAAACCTGGATTACTCTAAACTAAATCATGAATGTATTCTTAGATCTGAGTAGCTTCATACATGCTGGCAGAAATATGATAATCATTTTGGATTTGTAGTGATAAGCAGTCTGAATCAAGGACAAGATGGACAGCTGCTCTGCTGAATAATACATAACAAAGTAATTTAAGCTCCGCAAAACTGAAACAGCAGAAGCCTTTCCAATAAACTTATCTGGGAGATTGAATTGGCACTACCCAAAAAGTTCATTCTTTTTCAAAGACAACACAGCACCTACCTGTTGTTGTACTGGTAACTGCTGTACCACCTGGGTAGGTACAGCTGCTTGACTAGCTACGGAAGTCTGCAAAGTAACCGTCGAACCTGTATCCGACCCAGTCTCTGATGTCTGCATTCTTGTTGCTGTATGAGGGGTAAATATACACTCATTAAAATTACGATTTTTGTTTTGTGTATGAGTATACAATCTCTTTAAACTGCCTTTATCCTACCAACCTTGACAGATCCCAAAAAAGCTAAGCAGGATTGGAACCGGCTAAGATTGTTGTTGTTTTGGTGAGAAATAATCAGAAAACGCCAGTTTGTAGACTAGATTGGGAAACAAACAAAACACTTTCCGGAAAAGAAGGCAAAGATAAAGATAAAGAGCTAGTTTGGTCTAGTGGTTTAGGCACCAGGCCAGAAGCCGGGAGACTGTGAGTTCCAGTCCTGCCTCGGGCATGACAGCTGGCAAGTAACCTTGGGACAGTCACTCTCTGTCAGTCCAACTCACCTCACATGGTTGTTCTTGGGAAGAGCAAGGAGCACTAGCTATATTTGCTGCCTAGAGTTACAAGTAGACCTTGACTTACTACCACAATTGAGCCCAAAAGATATGGTGCTAAGTGAGAAATCCATTCAGTTTTGCACCATTTTACCATTTTTCTTGCCACCTTTGCTAAGTGAATCACCGCAGCTGTTAAATTAGTAGTGCGGTTGTTAAGTGAATCTGGCCTCCCCGTTGACTTTGCTTGTTAAAAGGTCGCAAAAGGTGATCACATGATCCCGGGACACTGCAATCGTCATAAATATGAACCAACTGTCAAGCATCTGAATGTAAATCATGTGACTATGGGATTGATGCAACTGTCATAAGTGTTGAATAATGGTCATAAGACACTTTTTTCAGTGCTGTTGTAACTTCGAACAGTCATTAAACGAACTGTTCTAAATCAAGGACTACTTGTACTTATAAAATCATAAGGGCAATAAGTAAGTAAATCAACAAACCACTTTGAAATTGTTGTCAAAGATTTATACCAACACATGAAATGAGTAGTTCAACTGAAAAGAGGTTTTATTTTTCCCACAGAACAAAAATGGACAAAATTGTGGCCATTGAATATTGCTGAATTACAACTTCCAGCAACTCTCATTCGGCTGCTGGAAATTGTGTCAGTAGCATTTGATTGGTCACAAATTTGCCATATTTGCCATTCGCGGGGTGCTTCATTTATTTTAAAAGCCTGCATCAAAAAGCATTCCATGTTAAAAAGAAATCCAGAAACAATATTTTGCTGTTGTTCATTTTTATTTAATTTCTTCATCATAGAGTTATGATTTGGTAATTTCTGCTTGACTGTCTTCAGTGATAATTAAAATTATCAACAGAAGATCAATAATGTGCATTCATTATTTTCCCATTCAAATTCCACTATTCAATGTTATTTGCTTCCTTGTTCCTCTAGCCTGGTTGGTATGTTACCTTAGGACTATTTCCACACACATCCCTCCGAGGAACTCTCTATTTACTACTTAGCTGGTTGGTATGTTACCTTAGGACCATTTCCACACACATCCCTCCGAGGAGCTCTCTATTTACTACTTAGCTGGCTGGACACAAAACATGGATGCCTCCTTCCTCATAGTGGTAGCTTCTAGAATCTGTCCTCTGATAATGCTCTTCTTCACTTTTGACATTTTATTTAAAGGCTAATTCTGCACCTTAAAGCCTGTTGGAGCATTGGCCTTTTCTGAGAAGACAAAACTAAAACCAAAAAGTTATTTCCTCCCAAGGGATCAGAAAGGAAATTCTTCTTGGCCCTGTCTTTTCTCCTGAAGAATAATTCATCCTACGGAATTGGCTCCATTGTTCCGATGATCAGAAAATAACTGCTGGGACAATGACCAAGGCTTTGTTTTCTGTTATTGTCACAGCTCTGAAGAACACTGAGCCAGGAGAAGACGTTCTTGACATCTACTCATTCTATTTATGGACTGGTTTTAGGGTCGTGCTTCCTGAGAGGATTTTTCCTTTGTTCCACATGGAAAGACTAACAGAATCAATACAAATGGTCCTTGACATACAACAGTTCGTTTAGTGATCGTTCAAAGTTACAACGGCACTGAAAAAAATGACTTATAACTAATTTTCACACCGTCGCAGCATTCCCATGGTCACATGATCAAAATTCAGATGGTTAGCAACTGACTCATATTTATGACAGTTGCAGTGTCCCAGGGTCATGTGATCTGACAAGCAGGGAAGCCAAATTCATGTAAGAACTATGTTCCTAATTTCACAACTGCAGTGATTCACTTAACAGCTGTTGCAAGTAATGTCATAAAATGGGGTAAAACTCACTTCACTGTCTCGCTTAGGCACAGAAATTTTGGGCTCAATTTTGGTCAAAAGTCACGACTGCTTGTTTTCTTTATCAGCAACGAAAAAAGGTAATTCCATCAAATTCCTTTCTGTGACAGCCTTACTTGTCGTAAGGGAATTGTCTCCAAGAAAAACTGTGTGGCAGAAACTGCTGCTATTTAAGATATTGCTTTGCCCGGATTTACTCTAGACAGACTTTTTGCCAATTGCTTGCTCTTTGCCCCACTGGTGCATTGTTTAAGGACAATTTGATCCACTTGTGAAGCCCAGCAACCTAGGCAACAGTAATAAAAGCTGGCTGGATTCTTAGATCCACATAGCTTGCTAAAAAACGTAAGGCCTGTCCCAGAGACCTAAATGACGGAAAGATGGGAATATGAATTAAATAAGATGATGTCCTCCTGACTTTAAATCTTTTCTTCAGAATCTTCCCACCTATATTTTCCATATAATGCAGCTCTTGTCTGATATCACCTCTATCCAATAAATCCCTATTGGCTTTTCAAATAATACTATAACCCTTCGTCTTCTTGGATTGCTTCCAGGTTCCTGTCTTCAACTATTTCTTTAATTAAACTAAATCATATATTTGGATTGTTTTTCTGTAAATAGTATTGTACGTGTTTTACCTCCATACTCCTTTAAAATAAACACACACACACACACACACACACATATTTCCATTCAAATTTTTCATTGCTTTTCTTCCTTTACCATTTCACTAGAAATAACATAATATTGTCCAGATTTTTCCACAGGCACATCACATATGGGTATGGGTATGTGTATATATAAAACTCCTTATTTTCTTTCCCTCATACAGTAGCATACGTTGTGTCCAGATTGTGTTCTGCTTGCAAATAAGAGCTCTTGTTAAGAAAGGTGGTAGTGTACGTTTGTTATCCCAACTGTAACTTTTAATATTAATATTTGTGCTCCTTTGCAAAAAAAATCTTTGTAATACAAATTCCTGTACTGCTTGCACTTCTGTTTGAGACATAAACCATTCAAGAGGAATTGGGAGGTAGAGAGGGAAACAAGATGATTACAGTCAGACATAGTGAAAAGAAATTCATGAAAATATAGCTAAGATTTAAGTAATACAGTAATAGAGCAATTGTAGATACAGTAATAGAGCAATTGTGTATGTGATCGCTCAGAAGCAAAACACTTGGCATTCACTAGCTAAGTATAAGTAAGCATAGCTTAAAATACTAAATAATTGAAAAATATTTTTAAAAAACCAAGTCTTTGAAAGGAAAACAAGACTTGTATGTGAACAATAGTAATAAATACAGATATTTTTACAGTTCCAGAAAGGAAATAAATCGTAACTAAGACATGCCATGACTGAGAAAATATTAGTGATTGAATTTTCGGCCGTGATGGCCTCCTGCACCCCTCTCCCAGTGAAAACAGAGACCGGAAGGCTGCATGCAGCCTCCCCGAGCTCCATTTTCTCTGGCAGGAGGCTGCAAGGCCAAAAATGGAGCTCAGGAGGGCCACATAGAGGCAATGTGGGCTGGATCTTCACTGTTTTCAGAGCAGCTCCATGGGCCAGATTAAGCACCCCTCAAGTTTGAGTTTGAATTTGACACCCCTGCTTTAAATTAAACAAAAGTATTTCAATGTTCATCTTTTTTTTTAATGTGTATTGGTAAAAACACACATTATTTGAAAAACACCTTCAAGATGATTTAATAAACTCAAGAAGTACAGTAGAAATCCTTTTGTCTTCTATTCTTATATGCTGCACCAGAATGGTGTACTGGATAAAGGATCTGATGCATCTATTGCATAGCAAACCACACGTTGCAAATACAGCATCTTAATAATAAATTAGTTTTAGCATATATTTTTATCATTATTGCTCTATATACTAAAATTTGTGAAATCTCAATATCTACTCTAAATAATGATACAGATTTTAATTCAGTACAGAAAACAAAGGCCTGTAATTTTTATTCAAGTGTACTATTTTTTTCCACAGAAAGTAAAAACACATCTGCTTAAAAATTAAAATAACATGATTAGACACATAGAAGCTAGGGAGCTTAATTATAAAAGTGGATGTAATATACAGGAAATTTCAAATTACTATCATTTTCCAAAATTTTGTAAGAACATTTAGTTTCAACTATAGATGATCAAAGTATAATAGGGTCACCTGTTGCCATAACTGGTGGACCTGAAACTAATCTGATATAATAGAAAAGGAATATAGCAAAAGGCAATCCCAAAGTGTCAGTGCAATGATGAATGTTACACGTATTATTTAATACTTTGTGCTACATTCCTATTCTATGAAGAAAATGTGAGCCAGTTAATACTGAAGACTGATAATAAAAAGTTTTACAAGCTTTGGGGAATTTCACAATAGTAAAAACAAGAGACTAGATTTGCACTGAAAAAAAATCCTTGTAATCTTTAGTATTTTATGAATTATAATAGTATTGCAAGATACATTGTCTAGAGGTGACTAATAATACATGGTTTGATGTTTGGCTACATTTCTTTGATCACTGTGTGAAAATTGTACTACTTGGGACAGTCACAAAAATTGTAAAAAAAAAAATGTTCTGTTACTCATATGCCTAATGTCATTGAATTCAGTTTTCCCAATGGTTGCTTGTTATTTTCTCTCCAAAAGGATTACCTGAGTTCAAGAAACATGCATTAAAATAGGTTGTCAAATTTAGCTAATCATATATTATCACTGAATGCAAATGAAATATTCCTGTCACCATATATTGTATAT